TTCAGATCTTTAAGCTTTATAAAGGAGATGTCAAACATCTGGGTTGGGGGTCGAGGTGGGCACAAAGTGAACATTTTGCAAAAATGACTACTGCTTCTGGTGTGAGGATTTAAACACAGTAGAAGAAATCTATGCAAGGTTAGAAGCTTGTTAAAATCTCAAGATTTTTGAATTATAAAGAAAGTGGGATTGTTTGGGTCCCAAAATCTATACATGTGCATGCTTTGTGCTCCACAAAAGCACATAAACTGACAGGAAACTGAATAAATGAGGAAAATTAGGACCTGCTGTTGAAGCTGCACTTCCTTTTCCCTTTGACACCTTTTGCTTTACGCCATGTGATGGCGAAAGAAGACAGTACAGGGATTATTGAGTAAAAGATTAGGTTTTGACTGTCAAATGTTTACTGTCCTGTTAAGTAAAATAAAGAGTAGATTTTAAAGATGACTAAACTGGTGATAGGTTTTTATTGCACATGTAGCTGCACAAATGCAAAATTTTAAAGTCTCTTAAACGTTTGATTCAGAGCCTCTTCTACCATGTTGCTCTACAATTAGACAGGTTTGGTATTTTATTTATACACTACTTCTTATTGTTGATATTTTCTAATATATCTCTAATTCACAGACCAAGCTGCTTTAGTGATTAAAATGATGAGCATTCCCGTGTAATGTTAAAGGCTTTAAAAAAATGGTTCTATTTGTATTTATCATATCTCTACTGTCTATCACAGATGCTCTGAAATGTTCTAATGCAACTTATTACTTTCAGTCATTTTAATGCAAAAGAGTTCATCCAAAACACCACTGTAGGTCTGTTAGCTATATTACAATGCCAAACATAAAAAAAATAGCAAAAAAATGTGGAAAATTACAATAGAATTAATGGTTCTAATGTTTAAAAAAACATCTGTTTTGGAGGTTGACAAATACATTAGAAAATGCTTAAAAATAACACAGGGCACATGAATAAATATGACAGGAGTCATGAATAACCTCTGTTGAAGGTTAAGAAGCTTTATTAGAGTCTCTCAGATTTCATCAGAAAGATGGAAAATATCTCATGTAGCTACAGAAGTGAGCAGAGCTTGTTAGGCGCTGTGCTGTGCTTTTGAGCACCAGTTTCAGGTTATTTGAAAAGTGATTTCTTAACCTGACGACCAATGATACGCACTGTAGCGCCCCCTACAGGCTCTACAGACTCATGACATGTCAGAGAACAAAGTCACTGTGGATCAATGTGCTTTTCCCTCACAGTGACGGGCTGATTAAAGCTGTAGGGCCTGCAGAAACCATCAGAGCTCAGTATGCAGAAGCTTTGTTTGACAAAGTGATCGATGCTGCAGGAATGTGCGTCCTGCCAGGTGAGCATCAGCTCTGTATCAGTTCTGTTGGCTTAAATATAAGCAGTCAGACGTGTGAATTGTTGAGAATTTCTTGCCTTAGTATAATGTAAAAAATACTTGATGTTCAAAAACAAATCTCCCAGAATTTGTTTTTTTTCTTTCTATTTTCTCCCATTATCATCATCAAATTTACAGACTAAAGATGCTAAATGTAAATGATTTGTTTGATATCAAGCTTGTCTTACTCGTACTTTTAATGTTTGACCTTTTATTTCTGCCTCTTCTCGCAGTGATTAACTGCTGCAAACTTCTTGTTTCAGGCTTGGTTGATGCTCACACTCATCCTGTCTGGGCTGGGGACCGGGTGCATGAATTTGCAATGAAGGTAAATTATTCTGCTTAACTTCACTTCGCTTCACTTACTTCTGAACTGTTGATGACATGCTCGGCGCTCCATCTGCAGCTGGCAGGTGCCACCTATATGGACGTGCACCGAGCAGGTGGAGGCATCCACTTCACGGTGGAGCACACTCGAGCCGCCCCCGCCTCGGACCTCCTGGCGACCCTCCGCAGCAGGTTGGTGCGGATGCAGCGAGCGGGCACCACCCTGGTGGAGTGTAAGAGCGGTTACGGCCTGGAGCTGCAGACCGAGCTGAAAATGCTGGAAGTGATCGAGGAGGCCCGGCGCTCCCTACCTATAAACATCTCTGCCACCTACTGCGGAGCTCACGCAGCGCCCAAGTAAGTTTAACTATTTTTGCCTTATATTCCATATCTCCTCCTCCTCCACGTCTTCCTCCTCCTTCAGAGGGAAAACAGTGGCAGAAGCTACAGAGGACATTCTGAGAGTTCAGCTGCCTCGGCTGAAGGAAAGGATGTCTGCTGGGACTCTCAGAGTCGACAACATCGACGTGTTTTGTGAGCAGGGAGTGTTTGACCTCAGCTCGAGCCGCTCCATCCTGCAGGCAGGCAAACAAATGGGCCTCAACATCAATTTCCATGGAGATGAGCTTCATCCCATGAACTCTGCTCAGGTATCTGCCGAAACTTATGTATACACTGTAAGCTACAGCCTAAAGATGAATATTCACCTCTGAACCACATCATAACCTTCTGTTTCTGCTCACCGGATCAACAGTAGTCATATTATTTTAGTTTACACCAACTCCAAAGAAAAATATCAGCTAGTTTCCACCTTTGTGATGAAAGCTCATTACCATCTTTACTACCAAACCTACGCTCTTCTGCATCTGGATAGTCTCCAGATCCCCGTACAGATGGATTGAAAAAACAAATGTTCGCAGAGTCATGTGAAGTAAAAATAGTAAGTATGATTGGGAGCTACAGTTCATTTTTGTGGCCTTATTAAACAGTTTCCATACACCCATATGTTCGTTTTCTAAGAACATATGGGTGTACAGAATATATGTTATTTCAGCTGCTGATAATCTTTGACTTTCAGAGTAATACAGTCTAACACATCCAAAAACATGAAGGAAGGCGAGGGAAATGTCACTATCGACAAAAAAAAAAAAAGACACTAAAGGCGCATAAAATATAATTGATGATCCGGGGCCAAATGCAGATGAACTGCACGGAGACTTTTTGGATATTTATCTGAAACCTAACTGTTTAATTGTTTATTAATAATCATCTGAGGCCCTGTCTTGTTAAACAGAGTGTGCATTTATTTCAGATGGGGGCGGAGCTTGGAGCCTTAGCCATCAGTCACCTGGAGGAGGTGACGGATGCAGGAATTGCTGCCATGGCCAAAGCAAAAACTGCCGCGGTCCTACTGCCGACTACAGCTTACATTCTGCGGTACTGTAACACACACACACACACACACACACACCCTTTAACCGAGAGTTTTTCGAGTAATACATTTATTGATGTTCAGGTTGCCCCAGCCTCGGGCCAGAGACATGCTGGACGCCGGAGTGATCGTGGCCCTCGGCAGCGACTTCAACCCCAACGCCTACTGCTGCTCTATGGTGAGTGCAGGATGTCTGACTCCTCCTTTGTCTGTCACAGCCACACTCTGTATATAAAAGATGGATGTAAGTACTGTGACATTACCCATGAAGCCTAAACATTACGTTTCCGTTTTTCCTTAAGCAAGAATGATAAGTTATTAGCTTCCACTGAGGTGCAAATTGCTGCTGTAAGCATGTAAAGTTGGACATTTTAACATGGAAGTCTGGAGGGGTTGATTCACTTCAAGAGTCTGCCTCAAGTGGCCAATAGAGGAACTGCAGGCTACATCCCCCTTGTTCTTCTTTTTCTCTCCCTCAGCCGATAGTGATGCATCTGGCCTGCGTTAACATGAGGATGTCCATGCCAGAGGCTTTGGCCGCCGCCACCATCAACGCAGCCTACGCCCTCGGGCGCTCCCACACACATGGATCGCTGGAGGTCAACAAGCACGGAGACCTGTTGCTCCTCAACGCCACACGGTAAGCCCACCCACAGCAGAGAACACTTCAAAGACCAATTTCATGTTTTTATGGAGCTTAAAAAAGTTAAGGTAAAATTTAAAGAAACAGCTGTGTTTCTATTGTGGAAATAGTGCAATTATTTACTCTGTGTGTTGCACTCAGTCACTCACTGCTTGCAGTTTAGTGCTGCCTTTAACTGTAATGTTATATTAATGCATGGTTTCATAATTTGAACCATTATTTTACCAGGTAGCTTTATTAATTTTTAGCAGTTTTAGTGATTCCTAATCAGAGGCAGAAACATTGGTGTGCAGATGTTTAGATTTGGTGTTTTTCTGATACTTCTGACTTCTTCCTACATTGAAAATCTAATATTGTGTCAGCTTTACATTAGAAATAAGAAATAAAAATAACAGAGCCTGTCCTCTGTGTCGTTCTGCAGGTGGGAGCACCTGATTTACCAGCTGGGAGGACATCAAGAGCTCATCCGGTATGTCATCATCAAAGGGGACGTCGTCTACGATAACAACAAAATCCTGGACTTGTAACTGTGGAACTAGGCTAACAGAGTGAAATAAAACTATATAAAAATGTAAATGTGTGCTTAAGGAGCTAACTAAAATAAAGTTTTAGTCTCTTATCTCAGTGTGGTCACACCTGTCAGCCCAATAAGCACTGGGAGGCTTCGGTCCAGATGTTTATCTATGTTCATGTTGTGCTCTGTCCAAGCATGAAGCCGTATCATATCAAACAGCTCTCTCCTTTTATCAGTCATAGTCCCTACATTTAAAATCCTTCCACTCCTACCTCTCCTTCTCTCACTGCCTCCTAATATGCCATCCCCCTCTCCTCTTCCTTGGTCATCAGGCAGCAGTGGTATTTTCGCCCTTCAGACCAACAGTGCCACCAGTCTGGGTCTGTTAACAGAGGCCTCAAACAATCAGAATTATCATGTTGATAACCATTGTTTAATCTTGATTTAGCCACTGAAAGTGGGCAAAGGTTCATGACCTAGATCAGATCACTGCTGTTAGAAAAGCTGAGTCAGGAGAGAGAGCTTTCCCTCAGGTGATCAATCAGTTCACTGAATTACCTGATCTGACCTCTGTGAAGCCTGCAGAGGCCTGAAACTCTCTCTGCTTTTATCAGAGGATTGCAGCAACAAAAGCAAATCTCAGTAATCATCACCTGGAACAAAAAAATCTCTTCAAACCGCATTTCTGTAGAGTGCTCTTTATCTTTATTGAACATGTTAGTACACAACGCTCGCCTTATCTAAGCATTTTTCTCACACGCGTGGCTTTCAATGACTTGATAAATCATTCCAAGTCTTTCTTTCTGTTCTGATTTTTCTCGTGTTATCACTTTACATTAAAAAAAACACAATATATTGTGATTTTTATAAAAGCTAACTATAAAAAAACAACAACAAAAAAAAAAACTAAATTAAATGCTATTCACAACAATAACTGGGTGCAAAGATGGAAAAAAGATATAAGGTTGTAGTGGTACACATAAGAACTGGCTTTTTAAAAACTATAACAATGATATAGCTCAGCTGTGTGAAACACCTCCATTAATCCCCTCAGGCTTCGTACTTCTTCCCTGCCCGGTGGATCTGCTGGTAAAGTGTCATGGAGAAAGCCATGCCGAGCAGCTGGAAACAGAAAAACACTCCAGTTAATAAAGAGCTGTGTTATGAGGCAGGATTTAGTGCTTAGCAAGTTAACTTTAGAAGGTGATTCCCTTCTTAACCAGCATAACCAGCCCTAAACCGTTTCTGGAGCCTGATAAGAGATCAACATGATCAAATCAAGGCTTATTGGCCAATCAGTTCCCTGGAAAATTGTATCACAATTCCTGGAAGATAATAAGATGGTCTCTAGGGTTATGGGACAATCTGAAGTTTTTGTTTTTTCTTTCATGAGTAAGAAAATAGATCCCCAGGGGAAGTTTATTTACTGTTGTTCTTTGAGCGTTAATATACTGAAACCGCCCTAAACTTTTGCCAAGTTTTACTCTTGTCAATACAGTCATGTTGGAAGCCAATGAAGACTTGCTGTAATGTGCCATATTAACACTCAGCAGCAACATGCCAACCCCAGTAGCCTTAGACAGAACCTCCAGGTAGCCTGGGGTGGTATCTCACAGCTGTTAGGAAAAGGGTCCCTAACAAAGTCTTTAAAGGCACATGGCCTTAATTGGTAGTAAAATGTCTTCAATGAATTTTTATTTAGTTTTTTGTGATTCTGTAACCCTGAGAAAGTTAAGCAAATTACATCCTGGATATGTTGAACTTGCTTCACAGCACAGACCCTGTGAGTATTTAAAGTCTGGATGTGACCACCGGATAAAGTGCTGCTCACCTGTATGACCAACACACACATCGCAATAGTCCCCAGAAGGTGCTTGTTGTCGTCCAGCCACTCCTCAACCTTCTCATAACAGCCCTGGAAAGACGAAGGAAACCAGATCATCAGGAGACATCTGGTCACAAAAACGCTTTACACTGAGTTCACTCTGAACACTTTTCTCCTTTTGTTCCTGGTTACTAACATCTGTTGTTGTTTCTGACACATTCAAACACAACCTAATGCTTCTTTAAATTCAAATAAAACAAAAACAGTTCGAGGTAAAGAAATAACAGGAAAACCAGAAAACAGGAAAAGAACTGTAACACCAACTCATTAACTATATGAGTCGTGGTTGTGCAGCTCATTTTAAACCAGACACCTCTTTTTAATCGTTTGAGCAAATAGGATCACAGTAACTGTGCCACGTTCACGTCACTTCAACCAATCAAGTTGCAATGCCAAAACCCACGTGGGCCCAAATTTACTGCATGTGGCTTCTGTCCAGTCACGTGTCTGTAGGTGGGTCTAAAATGGAAGTTGTTGACGGCTCTGATGTGGCTAGTTAGGCGTGGTAACTGCTGATAATCATGTGGCTACCGGCTACTGGCAAAAATCGGGACGGTAATTCAATTTCTGTCTTAGTGCATTTGCGCTGCTATGTGTTTTGTGGTCTTCTTTTGTGGCTCATTCAGTGCATTTTGGTCAGAGTGTGGTGAAACTTGATGTTTGGCATTGGTGATAGCTCCAGCCTTTCTTTAGCCGGTTACATGGAGTCGAAAGAATTTCTGGTGCGGTTTTGTTTGTTTAGCGGACTTGTGTGCATTTACGTAACTGCTTGTTTAATCATGGCTTGTAGAAATGGTTTATATGAGATTTTAACTGAGATTTAGAGGTACCACACACGTCGGGACTTATATTTCTGACCCCGTGTTATAACCGATTAAACGTGATCTCCTCCTTTTTGCCCCCGGTACCGGGGGCGTGGGGCTAAAATGGTTAAATTTATTGGGCCTTGTTGACAACAGAAGGAATAAAACAATCAGCAGATTGATAACTTCACTGACCCGTGTCCAGAACACATTGGAGGCGTTGCGTCCACAGTCCGGGTAAACCTGCTGGCAGCAGCGGTCAGGAACCACGTCATCATGGAACGCCGAGTGCCAGTCACGGTGGTTCGTCACGCCACAGCACTTCCACTAGTAGACAAGCAGGAGGGGAAAAAATGACAGTGCATCATTCACTCAATAAGCAGCTGGATTAAAGAGTTGTCTTTAATGCATCTGCTCACCTCTCCCTGTATCGTGTTCCAAGCATCCCTCAGGCCGGCGTTGTTGTCCGTGTTGTACAGCACCAGGCCTTCTTTCAGGTCCTGACGGGCATTTTCACTCACCTGTTCACACAGAACCAGAGAGGTCACTCATCTGCAGCCTGGGAATGAGCATGATGGTGCTAGCGTTTTGCAGTCTTACCTTGTCGGTGTAGACGAAGAACAGGATGAGGAGGATAAGTTCAGCCAATAGGATGATCAGGAGAACGATGAAGAACTGAATAAAAGAAGAAAAGTGTCAACATAAGATGAACAAAAGTTCATTTATACCAAATACGGTAATACACTCACACTCAGCAGGAGACACTTGTTCTCCTTGATGGCACCCAGGCAGCCCAGGAAACCCGTCACCATGACTACGGTGCCGAGGGTGATGATGAGGTTGGCAGCGGAGAGCGAGGGGAAGGAGGGAGAGAGAGTGGCAAAGCTGCCCTGAGAAACCGAGAGCCATACGCCGACACCCAGCAATCCACAGCCTCCCAGCTGAAACACACAGGAAACTCAGACACTTCCTGCTGATTCGGTGACGATAAATTGCTTTAATCTCTTACTGCCGAGTCGGTGTGTGTGGAAAAATTACCCAGAAGAGCAGGTTAAAGAGGAAGAGCATGTACTTCACACAGCAGATGCAGCCGCGAGCCATGACTGAACGAACAGGCACTGAATAAATAAATAAATAAAGATTTTTTTAATGGCAGATTTATAATAACAGTCTAAAAAAAGTTACTAAAACTTTGAAATAAACTGATCTCAAGAATACTACCCAAATTCCCCTTTAGGGCACCACTGTTCCCACTGTGCGCTGATAAAGTTTCTTAAATTATTTTGGTCTGTGCAAAGATACAACCACCAGTATTTACTTGATTTAGCTCTAAAATGAACTTTTATTACGTAGAGCTGCACCTACATCATTGTAAGTGGCAATGGTTTGAATTTTTAAGGGAACAAAACACTTGTTGTGTGTTGCTTGTTTGCACAGAAAATCCACAAGTCACAAGTCACAGTCTGCTTTGATGCACATTATGCAACACTGACTGTAAACAGTTTCCTCTGCAGGGACTCAAAGTACAACCACAACACAGCAAAGAGGAGATGAACTCACCACTTGAACAAGCAGGAGAACGCAGAAGCTCTAGTGGTTTACCTGTGACACAGAAACGTACACGAGCATTAACACGGCGCCTACAGGTGTAAACAAGTTTTTAATACCACTTTAACTGATACTGAACTTACCACACAAACAAACTGTTGTCACTTTAAAATGAAGGGTATGGTAAAAAAACAAAAAAACAAAAACAAATAACAAACAGGTATGTGGTTGAGTTTAGGAACATTTTTAAATGTGTTTTGTTTGGTAGCATCTAACCTGACAGCTCCACACATCCTTCACCTGACCAAAGCGTGGCAGTGGTGAATTTGTCCTCTGCTTTTGTTATTTAAATAAAAACTTCAAGACAAGAAGGTCACATAAATAACAAAAATGACTGAACACTCAAATCCCAACTATGCCTCGCTTCTAAAACTTTATCTATACATAAGCTTATATTCCTGTTCTTACCATTTTAGAAATATTCAAAACAGCCTGAAACTGTTTTAGTCAAACTATACAGGACAAACTGAGCAATTAAAAATTAATGATCCGTATTAAATTTAGAGGCAGTGTAAATTTAAATTTAATGGAAATTTTCATGAGGTCCATTCATAAAAAGTGTAATAGATTTTACTCTTACTTACTCTTACTTACACGTGCATTTACCCTGTAAACTGTAAAAAGTTCAATAAGTCATAAGTGTGGTTAACAGATAACTGACTAATAATACAACTACTCCAAGTCCAAGTACTTTCCACATTATGTTTTAGGTGGTGTCTTTCTCGGTCTCCCCACCACCAAAAGTTAAAAATAGAAAACTGGAAAGACATTACTCACAGGAAATGAATTCATTTAAGGACCAGCAGACACAGACTGCACACTCTAATTTTAGCCGTATTGATATCATCAGTAATGTTGGTAAACACAGAATTTAGCCTCCAAGTACAGACCCTAGTTTTTTGAAAGCATTTTACATTTATTGAACCTTTTATGAAGACAAACTTGTCTTTTTAACAATGCATCTCCTTCAATTGTAAATGTAATTTGTTAAAATTGTGCGTTTTTAAAAAGGTTAACTGAGCCAAATGTGAGGAAAAGAGAAAAGAGATGGGTTGTTTTTGTATTTGTATTTACAGCACAGAACAAAATAGCCACATTTTTTAAAAAAAAATCATTACAGCAAAATAATAATTTTACCTTGAATATACTTTTAAATATATATAGAATTGTTAAAAGCCTAAACTGAATTTTGAATTAATAACAAACTACACTGATTATTTTATTAATTCATTTATAAACATGTTAACTTTACAAATATCCCAATATCCAGGTAAACCTTTAAAAATGTGTATTTCGTCTGAACATTAGGGCTGCCACAAACGATTATTTTGATAGTCGACTAGTCACCGATTATTTTTGCGATTAGTCGACTAATCAGATCATGCATCCATTGAACGTAAAACATACATCTTTTTGCACCAGCAGCATCTGCTCTTATATAACTATCATTAGCTTACAGCTTTAAGTGTTTAAGGTATGTGCTAAGTGACTTATATATGTTTAACCTGAGCAGCGAGAGACGGTGGTGGGTTTGAAAACAATTTGCCAGGAGTCCGGTGTTCTCACGGGCTCTAGTGAGCCTTAAACCCCGGCTAGCTATCGAGCTGGTGGGTAACAGACGTCTCAGAAAACGTCGGAGCGCTTTTGAAAGTATGTGGTGTCTTGATAAACTGAGCAGATATTTGAGGTTTACACAGCTACATTCGCGCCTGAAAATATGTTAAACGTTTATTTTGTGACCCAGAAAGAATAATAAGAGTAATATTAAAACTAACTAGCTGCCGCCATTGTTGGAAACTGAGCAGGGCCGCGCTACGAATTCTGGGATAGGCTGGGCGACGAAGTATACACCCGACCCATCCTTCAAATCTGGGGAAATGAAGGGCGCATTTGTCGGAGTCTTCAAATTTGGACCGTCTTCGTCGTGTTGCTGTAACGTAATCGGCCTACAATGCGTGCAGGAGGATGCGGTTCCTGAATTTGGACACAGCTACGATACCGGACGCTGCTTCTTTTTCTTCGGGGTTTAACAGCAGCTGGCATCCTTGTACATGCAGTGCTGCCATCTTCTGTTTCAGTCCATTATTACACTCTTAAATCCTACTACTTATTCCTGCGTCTTTTGGGATCTTACAACGCTTCAAACGACTCGTCGACTATTAAATTAATTGTCGACGATTTTGATAGTCGACGTAATCGTGACTAGTCAACTAATCATGGCAGCCCTACTGAACAACAACACAAACTCAGATTTTCTGTCAAGTATTTATTATTATTATTATTATTATTATTATTTTATGTTTATATATAAACATTTTTGACAAAAATTTGATTTTTTTTAACAGTTGTTTTTCAAAATGTGGTCAAAGCATGTGACAATTATGGGAATAAAATATGACAAAGAATCTAAACAAACTGAAATAGTAGTACAATTTTAAATTTAATTAATCACTTTTGTGCGTGTGAGTTTCTCTACTACAACATTTAACGTCATACACACTGTAGTAACACAGTAGCAACACAATAACAAAAACCTATCAACCAGAGACAATAACTTTCTGTTATTTTAAAATGACTAATAAGTAAGTAAAGTAAGCAGTCATGGTAGTCTAAGGAGCGTGGAAAGAAAGCAACAGGACTTTAAGTTTCCTGAAGATGTTTCACTTCTCATCCGAGAAGTTCTAAGACCAAGTGGTGGAGAGTCCCAGGTATGTTCTTTTCTTTTCAAGAACAAATATCACAAAGTGATTTACAATACAAAATAAGACACAACAATTAAATATTTCAAACAACATTCAGCATTTAGATGTTAATCATTTCAACGATTTTTCTGCATTGTGTTTTAATATCCACAGAAATTTAGAGACTTTTAAGATAAAAAGGAAAGATGGTAGAAGAACAAAGACACAATATCAGTGACTTGCTGAACATGGAAAGTAGAACGCCAGGACCCATTATTTTTTCCTAATTATGTTAACAAGATATTACGATGTGGCTGAATGCCATTATTAAAATATAACATTTAAAAAACATTTACTCTGAGCAATTCCTTAATATTTCTTACATTATTATTATTATTACTTTGTAACAGGATAACTACATCTATGCTGAGAGTCATACTCTCAGATAAATAATATGTTCACTATAGTGAGCCTGCAACAAACTAATGGTACTGTTTCACACAGTTCAAATTCATTCAGCAGTGGTTAACGCTGTAACACAGTTTTCTGTTTGTTAGCATGATTAAATCAAAAAGTTCTTTTTTATTTATTTATTTTTGAACACAGGTAAGATTGGAATCAGCTTACAAGTGATTAACTTTTGGAGTTGATCCAGATCTGGATAGGTCTCTTTATCATCAGTATTGGTGTCAAACACTCACCTCTTGTACTGTGACCTCACTAAAGGTAGCATGAGCACATTTTTAACTTTGCTTAGCTTAACAAATGCCATTAATTAATAATTATTTGATGACATTTTTAATTAATTTCATTAAAAAAGTATTTGCATACACTCCATCAGGGGAGACAAGGCTCACTTTCCCATAACCCATCATACAACTGGAAGTCTTTTTGCAGCCAGAGAAGTCGCCCCCTTCTGGCCTTTGAAAATAATGACATCTTCCATCTTTTATATACAGTCCACACAATCACATTTTGAATGGGGCTTTCAGACGTGGGCACTACAAAAGTACGTAATTAAATACATTTTAAGCTTCACATTTATATTAAATCAGAATTTTAGCCCTGTAGTTTCTCCCAGACATTTTAACCGTAAGCCCGTATTTTTTCATGTCCTCTGGCTCATACCATCACAAACTATCCCAAAACATCGCCCAACGATACAGCAGCTTCCAAATTTAAAAACTAGTGCGTGCAATAAATCTCTGCCTCGACGTGTTTTGACTGAGAAAAGCCATTTTGTTTTTGTTTTTTTTAGACATATAGTGGGATCCTCGTCCCGTGGTGACGTCATCACCCAAACTTCAGTTTGCGGTCAACAGTTTGCGCTTTAAAAAAAAGGGGGGGGGGGGGGGTAAGGGTAACTGTCCCGGTGTTATTTTTAAATTCACCAACTTTATACTTTAGCGATAAGGAAAAATGCTAATGTCTGCCTACACGAAGCTAGCCCACTTCGCCGCGGCTCGGGCCGTGATTCTTTCCATGTCCATGTCGGGTAAAAGAAGAGGAGGAGGAGGAGGACAAAAATGGGGGATCACTTTCTTACCGCTGTCAATGAAATTGCGCTCATCTCCCCGCTAACTTCTGGAGGTCCGCATGGTGCTCTGCCTCACAGCATCAGCGGCTTTTAACGTACAAATCCCGCAGTTGGAAGCTACGAAGTCCGTTCGGAAGTTTCCTCTATGGCTGGAGGAGGAGGACGTTTTCTAGGGAGAAAGGCGGAGCACAGAACTGGAGGACTGGAGGCGTGACTTTCGGGGGAAGGGAAGATAGTGAGCCGGTCAAAGACCCCGGCTGGGTAAATATGAGTGTTAGAATAGTTCACATAGTTTCCTATCATGGCTCAATGCCCCGATTTTATCGACACAGCTGAAGCCCAAAAGAGCAATGATGACAGTTTTGTTTCACCTAGCGGTCAACAGCGGTACTGCAACATACTAACAGCAAACAAGAGTATGAACGACCAGATATCAATTTATTTTTAAAAAATATTTCCATTCTGATTAACACTATTTAATAATGCAAGACGTTTATACTGAGTTAAGTTATACGTACAGTTTAAAAAAATATTTATATACGTATGTATATAGCTACATAGGGTTTTGGACATGACTCATTTCGCCTCTGTACACCACCACAATGGAATTTAAATGGTCATCAAACGCATCACAGTGAGTTTTGAAGTGCAAACATTCATCTTTAATTCAAAGGGTTTAACAGAAATATTGCACAGTCCCACATTTTCAAAAACATTTAAAAATATCTAATTTCTTTGCCCTGAGAAAGTCTTGGGTTGCTTTTGTAGTATGCTTTTGGTCTTTAATCACTTTCACTGTGAGGCACTGTCTAATCAGTTTAGCCCTGTACACTCCTATCAACAAGCACACCATCAAAACATGACGGATAATAATAATGAAGAAATTCGCACAGATTTTTCAAAAGTGTATTTTTTCTAACAGCCAAATGGAGGTGACTCCTCTGGCTGCAGAGACACTTCCTGCGATCAGCTGTCCTCACTCTGTGACATCAGTAACACTTCCTTGCTCATAGGGAGTTGCCTGATTGCTGGAGTTTTAATTGGATTATTTTAAGCTCTCTACCGTACAATAAAGCACCTTGAGGTGACTGCTGTGGTGACAGTGAACCAAAGAACACCAAGCTGGCTACATCCATCTTTATCATTTATAATACCCATGTACCAAGCTCACAATAAAAGTATGGCCTTAAGTCAGGAATACAATAAAAACAAGCTTTTAACCTTCACTCCCAATTACAAAGGTATACATGCAAATTACGTTAAAGATGTTTGACCTCAGCCTACTTTAAAAATAACAGGTGTCTTTTAAGGAGGCAGAGTGGGTGGATGATGATGTCATATAATTAATGCTTGTATGTGAACCCCAAACATCCACACAGAAATCCCCAAAGCCAAAGAGAACTTTAATAAAGGTTTGACATCATAACATCAATATAAATACGTGACTCTTAACAGAAAATACCAAATTAAATTACAAAATATACAAAAAGCCCCAAACATTAAAAGCTTGTTTTCCTCTCTCTGTAACTGCTGTTGAGCATCCATGGTGATAAAGCAGGAGCTTCCTGTGTATTCCAGGGTGGAAGAGTTAAAGCCATTGTCCATACTGTCCTCAAACTGGGGTGTGTAGAGGTGGCCCCACAATGAAGGAGGTTATAAGAGACACGTAGGGAGGTGGACTGCGAGACCATTGCTAACAGACTGTTCCTCTGTTGTGTCAGCCCAGCCTCGCTCTTCCTCTGCTGGCATCAGTTTAACCCAGGACCCATCGATCAGACTGTGAGGATTTCAACTGCACAGACTCGCTGCTCTCTCCATCCTCCTGCTGAGACGCACATATTAGAAATGTTACGTGTAAAATCAAAGAGACAGAGGGGAGGGTAAAAAATGACTTTAACAACTGATACATCAAATTAAAAAACATACATATGCACCAATGACTGCATTTTCTTATCTGCAGGGGTAATCGTGATATAAATTAAACTGCAGGGCAAATTGACATGCAGATGGTAAGTCTTTACACGTGAAGTAAAATTTATGCACATTATGCACACCTTGTTGGCAATGGCGCGCAGTTTCCCCAGCAGCGAGGGTTTCTGGGCATAGACCACGTCGTCATCGGGCTCCTCTCCTTCAGCCAGGCCACAGCTGTCTGCAGCTGGCAGCTCACACTCTTTGTTGGCAGACATTACCAGACGAGAGTACTTGTACTCCAGCCTGGCCACAGACCACAGGGTGTGAATCACAATCAGGCAGTGTATCATTTAACATCAGACAGCATCCGGTACGAGTGTATTTTTAACCAGGAATTCTTTTCATTGTCATGACTTATCTATTTGACTCAGCTTTCTGGAGAAAATCACGCCCCTTATGTACTCAGTCACCCCCTTCATGCCCGGTTACTCATCCCTCACAGAGCTGCTTTTCTTTTCTTTTTTTACACTGATGTCAAATGATAATCATTTTCAAAGCCTAATATTAAGTCAATTTTCTTTGTGGGATATTGTTGACACTTTTCCATATTTTTTCACCATATTCTCACTTAACTGAAAATATCTTCGTTCTTCTTTCTTTTGTTAAGTGTAATTTTTCTGGAGATATTTATGTGATTTTCCTTTTTCCTAACACTTTATAATAAATCCCTAAAAGTGCAATTAATCTAGAATTAAAAGTAATTTTCGCATATTCAATCTGAAATTGCAATGTAATTATATAGTCGTAGAAATACTTAGCATTGGATACACTAGAATAAGGGAGTAATGCACAAATTATACTGTTAGTGATTTTAAGTAGCACATAATTTGAGCCTATGCCCTGCAGCGTTTGCTGTTGTTTATTTTTTCTTCTAAGCGGGAAGGGGAGACCAGCCCTTATTACATTTTTATATGTAATATAAAAGGACAATTCAATAGTGGAACTTCAATGATATACACTAATATAATGCATTAACAGTGTAAGATAGGAAAATTTGATTTGTTTTTCCACTAAAATATATTGGAATTATGCACTACTTAAAATTACTTAAACATTAGTTAAAGTTACTTAAACATTAGTTAAAGTTACTTAAACGTTACTTAAAATTAGTTACACATTACTGAAAAGTATTTCCAGTGTAAATTTTAAACTGTGAAAGCTCTATTTACAAATGAATTCATCATGTAAGGTAAAATACACGAGGATCGCACCCTTGATTGGAGGCTGTGCTATAACTATAAATATTTGTCTTATGTCTAGAATAAAACTTCATTCAATTTCTTTATAAAAAAATCCATCAATGTTAAATCTACAGTCTTTCCCCCCACTAAATATTCTCACTTTTTCTTTGGTTTATCTACTTACAGTGACCCTAATCACATGATACACAAATATTTAGTGTGCTGTATTTACACAGACAGATAGATACGAGAGGTCACAATTACGGTGATAATAAAGACAGATTATTTCTTTTCATACACAAGCATGTTCTCAATCCTGCTAGCCTTTAAAATACATTCAAGATGATAGTAATCATAAAAGGTTACAAACAGATTTTTGAGTTCACTCTGCAATATGTTTACGATTCACTGATTTACAACGCTGGGCATTAAAACTGTCATCGGTGCCTTCAGGGTGAAGAATTTGCTGTCACAGACAAACATCTCTGACCACTAATAACAATTCGCTGTGATCTTAATGAGCACATTGGCCTGCTGTTAGGGTGCCTCTTATTACCTCTTGTTTTTCTTCCAGAAATAGCAGGTGAGGGAGATGAGCAGCACGGCCACAAAGGCCCCGCCTCCAACGCCGACCTTAAGCCACAGAGCGATGGCCTCACACGGGGAGGAGCTCCGAGGAGGCAGAGACACTCCTTTGGTGCACAATTTGGGCTCGTTCCACACATATAGAGTTTCCTGTTGACATGAGGGGATTTGCATTACTGATTAATGTGTTTTCTCAGGTTATAAATAAGTTTGTTCCATTAAAACATTATTAAACTGGTTTTGGCTAAATCATAAATGTTTAAATGTGTTTTGTTTTTATTTTTTCCTGCAAAAAATCCTGTTGTACGTAGTGAGGGCTCAAAAATGCTGGAAAAGATGAGGCAAATTAAAAATGTACTTTTGGGTCTTAACTTGAAAATGTCTCACAATGTGAAGGTAAAACTTTGCATGGTTTTACAAAAATCATCTGATTCTGAGGCTAAAGTGTGAAAGTTTTATACTGGTTAATGTTTATGATAAGATGTTTTGCTCTCGTCATAAAGAATATGACAAACAAATTTGTCACAGATTCAAAGCAGATACTGCCCCACTGTGCGCGAGGCAGTATGAGAGGCTCTGGCTTTCTGTGAAGTAAATGAGGTATGGGGAAGGTGTGAGTTACCTGGACGCCTCCCTTGCATGCTCCCTCTATCCGGTGGTAGTCGTCCTCAGTGCAGCGTGGACAAGCGCTGGCACTCTCCCACAGGAAGTGAAACGTGCATCCATCACATGTTCCTGCTGGACAGGAGCTGTCAAACACACAGATCAGTTATAGAGCTGCTAAGAGTAGTACATTTGTTACCTATTAGTTATTGAATGTTTTTGTTATCAAAGTATAAAAATATACATCAAATCTATACAGAAACTACACTTTAACTGACGTGCAACTACCTGGGTACGGAGAGCTCTCCTCGCTCAGACTTCTCTGGGTTACAGCGAACGGTGATGACTGAACTCCGACCCAGATCACATGATGCCGTCACCTGCGTTGAACTGAAGGAACACAAACACACATCTGGGACTTGAACACAACAAAAATATTTGACTGTTGCTTCCAGCTTTCTTTTTTCTTTTTACCTGTAGAAGAAATTGATGTCGGGAACATCCTGTGAGTTTTCCGGGAAAAGATCTGGTTCGGCATTGACACCATTGAGAACGGTGTCTACTGTCGCTCCTAAAAAAACAAAGGGGAGAGAGATCAAGGCGGTTTTTACCAGCTGATTATCACAAAACTGCATGATGCTATTCAACCAGCACCAATCTGGGTGATCCAACCCAATTAAAACTGTTCACCCAGGGGTACAGCAGGGGGCGCTCACGAGTCAGTCCCAAATAAATCTTTTTCACAAATTGTTTCCATTAGTTTTTCTTATAGTGAAACGTCAGAATTATCTTAATCCAACCTGATTGGTCAGTTAAGGCTTTAAAAATAGACACCCTCCACTGATGGGACTTGATTCCATATGATAACTAGACTTGTAATTAAACCCCAAGTGAAACTCCCAGTATATGAAGAAGCTTGGCGGTGGTTGAAAGTGAGGCCCACAGGAAGTCCTGTTTAGACCCTTACCAATAAAAGTGTCAGCAAGGCTGATGGATTGTGAGGAAATAGCCATTCTGAAGCCCCGCCCATCCGATGGGATGATGGTCGACTGACAGATAAAGCTGTCCACGGAGTTCACAAACTGAGCTGCGTCTCTCTGGTCGTCTTTGTTGGACACGTCTGTGACGTTATCGGTGCAGACAGCAGCTCTCTTTCCCTGCAGCCAGCGCCAAAATGAATCTGTCAGTGTATAATTTCTCTAATGTCAGATTTTTTTTTCACATCTATTTTTCACCGCTTTACATCCTAACGAGATGTGGACATGAACATCTCATCTCACGGTCAAATATACAATATATCCACTATCCATCCATCCATTTGTTTCCGCTTATCCTGGAGCCCCCCAAGATAAGCCTTATCCAGGATAAGGCTCCAGTGCTGGAGCCTAACCCAGCTGTCATAGGGCGAGAGGCGGGGTACACCCAGGACAGGTCGCCAGTCTGTCGCAGGGCTAACACACAGGGACAGACAACCATTCGCACTCACATTCACACCTATGGGCAATTTGGATTAATCAATTAACCTATCCCCACAAACTGCATGTCTTTGGATGGTGGGAGGAAGCTGGAGTACCCGGAGGGAACCCACGCAAACACGGGGAGAACATGCAAACTCCACACAGAAAGACCCCGGCCCGATGGTGGAATTGAACTCAGGACCTTCTTGCTGTGCGGCAACAGTGCTAACCACCGTGCTGCCTCAATATACCCACCATTAAAAAGTAATTCTCAGTATTTTTTTTAGATCACAAGAATTTAGGTGACTTTATACAAGATAAGCAAACTCAGTTCTTATATCCCTTACACTTAAAACATTCAATAAAAAACAGGTGAAAGATAAAAAGAACAAAAGAACATTTAAATGATTTTTAAATACGTTTGCTTCACAGGCTGATCTCTGAAGTGTGTTTGAGGCTGATGTAAGCAGAAAGCAGGTCAATTACCCCGTGGCCACACAGGCTAATGTTGAACAGATGAAGGTATTTTGTGCCTTTAGAGGTGAAACTCGGCCCGATGGTCAGCGAGGCCACATCGCTCAGGGCGCTGAGGTCAAAGGTCAGGGTGCGGTTGTTCAGCGTGTGGGTGAAGGAGCAGTCGCTGTAGCACCGGGAGTGTTCCTGAAAGAAAAAGGAAAAACATGATCTCTCTTAACTGGATAAAAGTACTAAAACATGATGATCCAGAATGAGGTATCATGACTGCAGGTCTCTCACCTTGTTACTGATACTTCCTGGTCCACACGCGACACACGCGTCCTGGCCGTAGGTTTGTCGCCCAGCCAGGTGTGTGTTGGGGGGACACTCCTGGCATCGGTTGGTGTCTCTGTCGATGTAAAAACCAGCTGGGCAGGGAACGCAGGACGAGCCGGCACGTTGGGAGTTCTGAGGTACCAGAGCGCAGGCACGGCACGCTGATGCCACCCCGTCAATCACGTTCGTCAAGTTGATGGAGTAGATCTTCACCGTGTCAGCAATGAAACGACGGACCTATAGACAAAAATATGCCACTGCAATTCGTTGTTGGATAACTTGATATTTGAGACAGCCTCACTCTCGTCAGAGCCTTAATAACGTTGCTTTAACAGCTGACGCCATGAATAAAAATCACACGACTGAAAATCACTCACATCTAGAGCATGGTTAGTCCTCTGGAAGGCCCACGTATACGTGACGGAGGCGTTTCTGGTCATGCTGTGCGAGTATGACTGTTTGCCCTTACTGCCCTCCCAGGACTCCACCACTGTGGTGCTCTTCCTGTTCACGTCCTGCAGGGGGCGTGCCAATAAAACACAAAAACAAAGGATTTGCTAACTGAGCAGTAACACACAGAACACCATTATAAACCAGACCTCGATGATGAGACGTGACCATTCTGACTCACTCAGTAAAGTTAGCCACCTAATTACCACCTTCTGCTGGAAATGAACACAAAGAGGCACACACCATCATGAAGTAGAGCTCGCAGTCGGCTGAGCAGATGGTCTCGAACACAAAGGTTATCCGGCCAAACTCGCTGCCGGTCATCCCTGAAAGCGAGGCTGGGACCCTGTCACCAAACACAAACACAAACTCGCATTTAGTAACACACAGATCCTGTTTGTCATCATTAGGACAGGCTGGTTTCTTCTCTGTACATAAACACACACACAGAGACTTACTTGAAGCCGGGGACATGCAAGCTGAGGATAAGATAGTCATTATCCGAACTTCCCGCTCCGCTGCGAATGTGATCTCCCGCCACCTCCCATCCTGTGGAGCAAAAGGCGCGATGCACTAGTATTACACCTCCGTAATTCTCCATGACAGCATATTACAACATTATCCACAATTAGCACAGCAGTAATGGGTAAAAAGTGGTTGCAGGTGATTTCAGCTCGCAATTCAAGCTCAACACAAAGCCCATTTTCCACCCAGACGTGTTCATTCTGACTCATTTTAAACTGGATTTTTTTTGGAGCACTGTCAGCTCTGCATTTGCTCTTATTGATTAGATTCACGGGGAATGGCTAGTGTTGTAGTTTCCTTCACTGTGTTTACATTTTTCATGTAATTAACCGTAAAATTAATATTTTACATTTTCTGCTTTTACTTTTCTGTTAAAATGCTTTGTAAAGTCTGCAGCTGGAGGTGTTACATAAACAAAGTATTGTTATAAATATATCTACTAACGTGTCAGGCATCCGTGTGCTCACCGTTCTTGTCGTCACATTTGGAATTGCCCACGTTGAAACAGGAAGTCTTCATGTTGGAAGGCAGCACGTTCCACCATTTATACTCGTAACCCAACACCGGCTCGGTACCTGCAGGGCACTGTGCACACGCTGGCACACACACACACACGCGCAAAGATCACACAAAAGCTGTTTAGACACGACAATGACATTTACCTCCTGGGTACAAAATTGTGTTTGTACAATCTTTTCAGCCAGGTCGATCTTAAACAAATTCATCTTATAATGATGGACAGAGGTGATCATTATATAAGCAGATGGAGAGGCTTTTTAAACTGCTGGGAGGACGTTCAGCCTTTGAATGGAGAATAATGAAGGAATTAAATGAACTTTGGTTTTTATTGGAAGAGAGTTCATTTGCAAGTACAGGCTCCAGCTTAAGTGTACAAGTTGCATGACTGTTGTAATTGTTTTTATTAGTTATAGTATGTTTGCAGCAGTTTGCAGCATGCCACATCTATTTACATGCATTTATTTATTGCTCTGTAAATGTTTATGTACTGCTTTAAAGTCATTTTTCATTTTTTACTTGTATTTTATTTTAATTTGAGTACTGCTTCTTTAAATTCTATATGTATTTATACCTTAAATGCTTTTCTAAAGCATTTATAAGTATCGCTAACCAGCTCTTGTATGAACACGAAGCAGTGGAAAAGATAAAGATGTTTAGTTGGATGAAAACAGGTTTAAACTTTATCAACACCAGGGTGAGGCCGGTGAGGATAGGTGTGAGCAGGTTTACCGTAGGTGCCGTCCGAGTGCGTTCCAGGTGGGCAGGGCAGGCAGGTGGAGTCGTTGCTGTTGTAGTAGCCAGGGTTGCAGGGAGGGCAGGGCTCTCTCTGGCCTGTTGCCGGCAGCTCCACGGCTCCTGTGATGTTCTCCACGCAGATTTTTGGCTCCACCCAACGATACAGCACCT